AAAGATGAGAGAGGCCTGTAATTTTCATCATAGGTACACGTCAACTATGACAGACAAATTGAGCAAAGAAAATCCAGAAAATCACATTGTAGGATTTTTTATGAATTTATTTGCAAATTATGGTGGAAAATAAGTATTTGGTCACCTACAAACAAGCAAGATTTCTGGCTCTCACAGACCTGTAACTTCTTCTTTACGAGGCTCCTCTGTCCTCCACTCGTTACCTGTATTAATGGCACCTGTTTGAACTTGTTATCAGTATAAAAGACACCTGTCCACAACCTCAAACAGTCACACTCCAAACTCCACTATGGCCAAGACCAAAGAGCTGTCAAAGGACACCAGAAACAAAATTGTAGACCTGCACCAGGCTGGGAAGACTGAATCTGCAATAGGTAAGCAGCTTGGTTTGAATAAATCAACTGTGGGAGCAATTATTAGGAAATGGAAGACATACAAGACCACTGATAATCTCCCTCGATCTGGGGCTCCACGCAAGATCTCACCCCGTGGGGTCAAAATGATCACAAGAACGGTGAGCAAAAATCCCAGAACCACACGGGGGGACCTAGTGAATGACCTGCAGAGAGCTGGGACCAAAGTAACAAAGCCTACCATCAGTAACACACTACGCCGCCAGGGACTCAAATCCTGCAGTGCCAGACGTGTCCCCCTGCTTAAGCCAGTACATGTCCAGGCCCGTCTGAAGTTTTCTAGAGTGCATTTGGATGATCCAGAAGAGGATTGGGAGAATGTCATATGGTCAGATGAAACCAAAATAGAACTTTTTGGTAAAAACTCAACTCGTCGTGTTTGGAGGACAAAGAATGCTGAGTTGCATCCAAAGAACACCATACCTACTGTGAAGCATGGGGGTGGAAACATCATGCTTTGGGGCTGTTTTTCTGCAAAGGGACCAGGACGACTGATCCGTGTAAAGGAAAGAATGAATGGGGCCATGTATCGTGAGATTTTGAGTGAAAACCTCCTTCCATCAGCAATGGCATTGAAGATGAAACGTGGCTGGGTCTTTCAGCATGACAATGATCCCAAACACACCGCCCGGGCAACGAAGGAGTGGCTTCGTAAGAAGCATTTCAAGGTCCTGGAGTGGCCTAGCCAGTCTCAAGATCTCAACCCCATAGAAAATCTTTGCAGGGAGTTGAAAGTCCGTGTTGCCCAGCGACAGCCCCAAAACATCACTGCTCTAGAGGAGATCGGCATGGAGGAATGGGCCAAAATACCAGCCACAGTGTGTGAAAACCTTGTGAAGACTTACAGAAAACGTTTGACCTGTGTCATTGCCAACAAAGGGTATATAACAAAGTATTGAGAAACTTTTGTTATTGACCAAATACTTATTTTCCACCATAATTAGCAAATAAATTCATTAAAAATCCTACAATGTGATTTTCTGGATTTTTTTTTCTCATTTTGTCTGTCATAGTTGACGTGTACCTATGATGAAAATTACAGGCCTCTCTCATCTTTTTAAGTGGGAGAACTTGCACAATTGGTGGCTGACTAAATACTTTTTTTCCCCACTGTACGTTAACTAGACAGCACAAACAGATCTGGAACCAGGCGAGCAATGGACACCAGACAACAGATTCCTACCAGACTGCAGACATTGGCGAAGTACTGCAGTGCAGACGACATAACTCTTACTTCCATGTTAGACATGTTCAACGGCTGATACAGGGAGTTCGCTCTCTCACACCATGGTTGCATCCCAAATGGCACTCTATTAACTATTTAGCTCACCCATAGGGTTCTGGTCAAAAGGAGTGCACTATGTAGGGAATAGGGTGCCATTTGCGACGCATACAGTGGGGAAAACAAGTATTTAGTCAGCCACCAATTGTGCAAGTTCTCCCACTTAAAAAGATGAGAGGCCTATAATTTTCATCATAGGTACACGTCAACTATGACAGACAAATTGAGAAAAAAAATCCAGAAAATCACATTGTAGGATTTTTAATGAATTTATTTGCAAATTATGGTGGAAAATAAGTATTTGGTCACCTACAAACAAGCAAGATTTCTGGCTCTCACAGACCTGTAATTCTTCTTTACGAGGCTCCTCTGTCCTCCACTCGTTACCTGTATTAATGGCACCTGTTTGAACTTGTTATCAGTATAAAAGACACCTGTCCACAACCTCAAACAGTCACACTCCAAACTCCACTATGGCCAAGACCAAAGAGCTGTCAAAGGACACCAGAAACAAAATTGTAGACCTGCACCAGGCTGGGAAGACTGAATCTGCAATAGGTAAGCAGCTTGGTTTGAAGAAATCAACTGTGGGAGCAATTATTAGGAAATGGAAGACATACAAGACCACTGATAATCTCCCTCGATCTGGGGCTCCACGCAAGATCTCACCCCGTGGGGTCAAAATGATCACAAGAACGGTGAGCAAAAATCCCAGAACCACACGGGGGGACCTAGTGAATGACCTGCAGAGAGCTGGGACCAAAGTAACAAAGCCTACCATCAGTAACACACTACGTCGCCAGGGACTCAAATCCTGCAGTGCAAGACGTGTCCCCCTGCTTAAGCCAGTACATGTCCAGGCCCGTCTGAAGTTTTCTAGAGTGCATTTGGATGATCCAGAAGAGGATTGGGAGAATGTCATATGGTCAGATGAAACCAAAATATAACTTTTTGGTAAAAACTCAACTCGTCGTGTTTGGAGGACAAAGAATGCTGAGTTGCATCCAAAGAACACCATACCTACTGTGAAGCATGGGGGTGGAAACATCATGCTTTGGGGCTGTTTTTCTGCAAAGGGACCAGGACGACTGATCCGTGTAAAGGAAAGAATGAATGGGGCCATGTATCGTGAGATTTTGAGTGAAAACTTCCTTCCATCAGCAAGGGCATTGAAGATGAAACGTGGCTGGGTCTTTCAGCATGACAATGATCCCAAACACACCGCCCGGGCAACGAAGGAGTGGCTTCGTAAGAAGCATTTCAAGGTCCTGGAGTGGCCTAGCCAGTCTCCAGATCTCAACCCCATAGAAAATCTTTGCAGGGAGTTGAAAGTCCGTGTTGCCCAGCGACAGCCCCAAAACATCACTGCTCTAGAGGAGATCTGCATGGAGGAATGGGCCAAAATACCAGCAACAGTGTGTGAAAACCTTGTGAAGACTTACAGAAAACGTTTGACCTGTGTCATTGCCAACAAAGGGTATATAACAAAGTATTGAGAAACTTTTGTTATTGACCAAATACTTATTTTCAAATAAATTCATAAAAAATCCTACAATGTGATTTTCTGGAGAAAAAAAATCTCATTTTGTCTGTCATAGTTGGCGTGTACCTATGATGAAAATTACAGGCCTCTCATCTTTTTAAGTGGGAGAACTTGCACAATTGGTGGCTGACTAAATACTTTTTTTCCCCCACTGTACATTGTGTTAACCCACAAATGGAAGCTAATGCATTTCATATGACTGTACTAGGCGTAGGGAGAACACATTGAAGCACATCTCCAAAGCAGCGAGGTGCCAGACACTTCTGTTACAGTATACCTCGAGGCGACACAGAGTACGTACGCCAGTCATTTTCTTTTTTCCCTTTTGTGTGTTCACCACACTCTCCTTTGTTTGGTTGCATTCATTTCCACCATTCTGTACATTTCATAGACATCCGAGCATCGTCACATTAAAGGCCCATTATATACAAGAGTAGAGTGACTCACTAGTACTCAGCTATATACGGCAGCTGAACGCAACTACCACTCAAACACAATTTCATATTTTTATTAACAAGGGATGATGGGTAGATTAAACCGAAATCTTGCACCAGTATTCCGATTGTCTCTGTTTCTTTGTGGAGCGAAACCGTGGTGTGGCCCTCCACTACGGAGCAGCCTCTTGCGGCGGTGTTCTGTTCTTTGGCTGTGGCAGGCAGCAGGTGGCTTGTGATGAAAAATTCAGTGCAGGGCTGACGGGGAAGAGGAGAGGTGGGGAGGAGTAGAGGATGGAGCGAGAGACAGGCAGGCCAGGTTAGCCGTGCCCAGAGCAGAGAGGCCAGGCAGTGGATCAGAGACATCTCTCTCACCCTCTGTGGAGATGACACACACATGAATCATTTATGAGGGGCCTTCATTAATAACCAGCGCTATGCCCTCCTCCTCCCCCTCCTTTAACACACTCCCTCTCTTTTCTATCTCTCTCTCTTTTCTCTAACCCTCTGGGGACTACTGAAGTAAAGGGGCTTCTCATAAAGACAAAACGATGAAAACAGATAAATAGAATACTGAGAGAAGCTCAGTGTTGTTGTTTTGACTTAGTGTTAGAGTAGTACTGTCTAGGAAGCCCAGGGGGATTTCAAGGCCAGGGGTGGGTAAGGGGCAGGGGTGACAGGTCATGTAGGAGCCATGGTTTAACAACACCAGACCACAATGGAAGTGTCAATGATGGAGTCCACACCACACTCATATCGCACACTCACATTCAGACACAGTCTCTCTCACATGCACGCACAAAGGCACACGCACCCACACATACACACTTGTCCATGGCTTAAAATAACATCCGTTTGCCTGTCTGTTCGATTGTCAGAGCGTGAGGGTAACAGATGTCTGTGAATCACACAACACTACTACACAGAAAGCATTGTGGCCATGAATACAGAAGGAACAGAAAGCTTCACTTAACAACAAACAGTCTGTAGGAGGGGAACAGGACTGACTGGGACTGAATGGAAGACTAACAGGTCACATCCAGGGTAAGCCATTAATTCAAACACCCACTGTGCATTGCCTAACTCTTCTTAGATCAATCTCTGTTAATCAGCTCCTCAATTTGTCCACATCTACCACAACTGAGGCCCCCTCTTGCCTGTCCTGTCCCTGTCCCCTCAGGAGTAGAAGGGCCTCCCCATTCTATGCTAAGCAGCTCCTCAAATTGTCCATATCCATTGCTACCAATTGTGGCCTCCTCTTAGAAGCCCTGTCCCTTCCCCTGTACTTGCCCCTTTCCTCTGTCCCCTCAGGAGTAGAAGGGCCTGCCCTTCTCAGGCCCCTGCAGCTTGTTGAGCCTGGCCAGCTGGGAGGGTGAGGGGGGTACGTCCTGTCTATAGGGGACCTTAGGCGACACAGGGTCCTTGTGAGCCGAGTACCCATCATAGGTGTTGTTCCCGAGGTGCTCCTGTGGGGGCGCTAGCAGTAGCTGCTTCTCTTTGGCCTCCTGCTCCCTGCGTCTCTGCTCCTGCCTCAGCAGCTCCTGGGCCTCCAGCAGGACGCGGGCGTTCACACTGCTCACCCCCGGGTAGCCGTTTCTGGAGGCCTTGTAGCTGGAGTAGCGAGGGTTCTCCTTGGCCGTCTGGAAGCCCTCGCCCGGCGGGTAGACCTTGTCCCAGGAGTCCTGCGAGATGGAGCTGGGGTTCTTTCTGGGTTGCCTGTAGATGGAGGGAGAAAGCGTGAATGAAAGGACATGCGAGACACAAGTGAAAATAGCATTTTAAAGAGGAAGAGTGCAATGACTCAGAGAGAGAAGGCTGAGAAAGTGAGAGAAAAGGTGAGACCACAGAAATAGAATGACTAGAATGGGCATCCATATTCAAGCCAATGATCCCATAATGGGCTGACTGGACTAGCGTGTATTTATACTATACCCATGGGAATACAACAGGCTGCCATTTAGAGTGTACCAGTGGTGATGCTATTTCTATGGGTGAGACACAAGTGAAGATGTTAAGAGGGTTTTAAAGAGAAAGGGTGCAATGACTCGGAAAGAGAGGAGATTCCAGAGAGACCGGGTCAGACAAAACCCAGCACCACCCATAACCAATTTAGCACACAATAAAAACATAGAAGCACATAAACCTAGAGGGACAGTGACACAGCCATTCCCCTCCATATAGCCCTACTGTGAAGGACAGACAGGCCCATTGGGTTCGACAGACAGTAATAGCAGCCCTGTTGCAAATGAGACTCAACCGGTCCCACTATGTCACGCTGGTGGTTTCAAAGTAGAAATCTGACATGGTATATAAAAAGGAGGAGCTGTCAGCCTCCTTCTTCCCTACAACATACAGTCAGTCAGTGTGTGTGACATCACCCGACTCATGCTTGACTGGGCACTTTGTGAGCTCTCTTTGTTCAGCCCATATGATATGCATGAGTGTTCAGGCCTAGACCACTGCTTATCTCAGGGGCAGGAGAAATGGAACAGACACAATAACATCAACCAACCAGACCTGGGTTCAAACACTATTTGAAATCATTTCAAATACTTTATCTGTGGACCAATAGAATAGTCCCAAAACTCTAAACCCCACCCACCTGGCACTCTAGGAAGGATAGAGCAAACACTCAAAGTATATGAAAGATTTCAAATAGTATTTGAACCCAGGTCTGCAACTAACAGGCTTTTGTCTCAGAGCCATGCATAATTAGTGGGTTTATCAACCAGCTGGGAAGAAGATACCTTATTATTTCTGTATTTGAAGAAAAACAATGATGAGACATTTGTGTGATACCAGACCTTTGTGTGAAGATGACCGGATAGAAATATACTGAACAAAAATATAAAACGCAATACGCAACAATTTCATTGATTTTACCGAGTTACAGTTCATTTGAGGAAATCAGTAAATTTAAATAAATTAGGCCCATATCTATGGATTTTACATGACTGGGAATACAGAATACAAAAACATTTGACCACACAATAGGCCTCACGATCTAGTCACGGTATTTTTGTGCATTCAAATTGCCATCGATAAAATGCAATTGTGTTCGTTGTCCGTAGCTTATGCCTGCCCATACCATAACCCCACCGGCACCATGGGGCACTCTGTTCACAACGTTGACATCAGCAAACCGCTCACCCACACGACGACATATACGTGGTCTACGGTTGTGAGACTGGTTGGACGTACTACCAAATTCTCTAAAATGACATTGGAGGTGGCCTATGGTAGAGAAATGAACATTCAATTGACAAGAGCTCTAGTGGACATTCCTGCAGTCAGCATGCCAATTACACACTCCCTCAAAACATGAGACATCTGTTTTGTGACAAAACTGCACATTTTAGAGTGGCCTTTTATTGTCCCCAGCACAAGTTGCACCTGTGTAATGATCATGCTGTTTAATCAGATTATTGATATGCCACACCTGTCAGGTGGATGGATTATCTTGGCAAAGGAGAAATGCTCAATAACAGGGATGTAAACACATTTGTGCACACAATTTGAGAGAAATAAGCTGGGATCTTTTATTTCAGCTCATGAAACATGGGACCAACACTTTACATGTTGTGTTTATATTTTTGTTCAGTGTAGATATGCTTTCTTTCAACCCATAACATACATAGAAACACAAACCCAACAATTTACATTAAACCCTTGATTGAACAATTCCAATTTCAAAAGATGGGTCTCCTCATCCTCCACATATTATTTCATTTCATACATTGACATAAAAGACACAGTTGGGCTGTTTCTCTGTGAGTAATGTAAACCAGCTATCTCTTCTCCATTAGATATTGTGCCAGTACCGTACATATGATGTAAATAGAGTAAGTGAGAGGAGGGAAGGAGTAGGAACATGTGGCATTAGTCACACTCTCTGCGGCCCAAATGGCACACTATTCCCTTAGTGCACAATTTTTGACTAGGGCCCATAGGGCTCTGGTCAAAAGTAGTACACTATATTGGGAATAGGGTGCCATTTGGGACGCACTTAGACAGTGTTCTAAAGAGACCAAAGCTACGGCAGCTGTTGCAGACGGAGGCCATTTGGTCCTGCTGTAAATGGCATGACTTTGGCTGCGAGATCAATGCTGTGTCATTGATGAATATGGGCTCTCAACAACAGTCATTGTTCAAATGAGGTTTATTTGAATTGGAACCCCTTGTTTATCAAAGCTTCACCAAGAGGAAACTGACCTTAATCTGAAACGAAAGCTGTTTTTGAACGCATAGGCCATGATTCAGCCATTCAACCAATGGCAGCGGTTGTGTGTGTGTGTGTGTGTCTGGGGCCATATGAAATCCATCAAAATCACACAAGCTGATACCAGGCCCCATATTACTCCAAGCCTGTGGTCTGGTCATACAATGGAATTTTGAAGGTAAACAATCAGATTCTTAAGATAATACAAACAGGTTTATCTAAACACAACTGGCCTTAATAGAATTACAATGATATTACACCACAAAGCCACAGGATGTTTCTTTGACCAGGCATCGGAGACATTTGTACAATAAATCTCCGCCTTAAACAAAGCTGCTTCTTCAAATATTTATCAAGCGGGAATCTGTATCAACAACAGAGGATTAAGCCGAACTGATGAAGTACTAGCTCGGAGACTAGGAGATTACATCTTGGTGATAATTCATTGCTGACTGGAGAATGTAGGGTCCAGAGCATATTGGGGCTTCGCTGTTACATTTACATTTTAGTCATTTAGCAGACGCTCTTATCCAGAGCGACTTACAGTTAGTTACTGCATACATTATTTTTTTATTTTTCATACTGGCCCCCCGTGGGAATCGAACCCACAACCCTGGCGTTGCAAACGCCATGCTCTACCAACTGAGCTACATCCCTGCCGACCATTCCCTCCCCTACCCTGGACGACACTGGGCCAATTGTGCGCCGCCCCATGGGTCTCCCGGTCGCGGCCGGCTACGACAGAGCCTGGATTCGAACCAGGATCTCTAGTGGCACAGCTAGCACTGCGATGCAGTGCCTTAGACCACTGCGCCACTCGGGAGGGAACATACACTATATACACAAAAGTATGTGGACACCCCTTCAAATGAATAGATTCAGCTATTTCAGCCACACCCATGCTGACAGGTGTATAAAATCTAGCACATACAGTGGGGATAAAAAGTATTTAGTCAGCCACCAATTGTGCATGTTCTCCCACTTAAAAAGATGAGAGAGGCCTGTAATGTTCATCATAGGTACACGTCAACTATGACAGACAAAATGAGAATTTTTTTCTCCAGAAAATCACATTGTATGATTTTTAATGAATTTATTTGCAAATTATGGTGGAAAATAAGTATTTGGTCAATAACAAAAGTTTCTCAATACTTTGTTATATACCCTTTGTTGGCAATGACACAGGTCAAACGTTTTCTGTAAATCTTCACTAAGTTTTCACACACTGTTGCTGGTATTTTGGCCCATTCCTCCATGCAGATCTCCTCTAGAGCAGTGATGTTTTGGGGCTGTCGCTGGGCAACACAGACTTTCAACTCCCTCCAAAGATTTTCTATGGGGTTGAGATCTGGAGACTGGCTAGGCCACTCCAGGACCTTGAAATGCTTCTTACGAAGCCACTCCTTCGTTGCCCGGGCGGTGTGTTTGGGATCATTGTCATGCTGAAAGACCCAGCCACGTTTCATCTTCAATGCCCTTGCTGATGGAAGGAGGTTTTCACTCAAAATCTCACGATACATGGCCCCATTCATTCTTTCCTTTACACGGATCAGTCGTCCTGGTCCCTTTGCAGAAAAACAGCCCCAAAGCATGATGTTTCCACCCCCATGCTTCACAGTAGGTATGGTGTTCTTTGGATGCAACTCAGCATTCTTTGTCCTCCAAACACGACGAGTTGAGTTTTTACCAAAAAGTTCTATTTTGGTTTCATCTGACCATATGACATTCTCCCAATCCTCTTCTGGATCATCCAAATGCACTCTAGCAAACTTCAGATGGGCCTGGACATGTACTGGCTTAAGCAGGGGGACACGTCTGGCACTGCAGGATTTGAGTCCCTGGCGGCGTAGTGTGTTACTGATGGTAGGCTTTGTTACTTTGGTCCCAGCTCTCTGCAGGTCATTCACTAGGTCCCCCTGTGTGGTTCTGGGATTTTTGCTCACCGTTCTTGTGATCATTTTGACCCCACGGGGTGAGATCTTGCGTGGAGCCCCAGATCGAGGGAGATTATCAGTGGTCTTGTATGTCTTCCATTTCCTAATAATTGCTCCCACAGTTGATTTCTTCAAACCAAGCTGCTTACCTATTGCAGATTCAGTCTTCCCAGCCTGGTGTAGGTCTACAATTGTGTTTCTGGTGTCCTTTGACAGCTCTTTGGTCTTGGCCATAGTGGAGTTTGGAGTGTGACTGTTTGAGGTTGTGGACAGGTGTCTTTTATACTGATAACGACTGGAGGACAGAGGAGCCTCTTAAAGAAGAAGTTACATGTCTGTGAGAGCCAGAAATCTTGCTTGTTTGTAGGTGACCAAATACTTATTTTCCACCATAATTTGCAAATAAATTCATTAAAAATCTTACAATGTGATTTTCTGGAATTTATTATCTCAATTTGTCTGTCATAGTTGACGTGTACCTATGATGAAAATTACAGGCCTCTCTCATCTTTTTAAGTGGGAGAACTTGCACAATTGGTGGCTGACTAAATAATTTTTTTCCCCACTGTAGCAATGCAATCTCCATAGACAAACATTGGCAGTAGAATGGCCTTACTGAAGCGCTGTGACTTTCAACATGGCACTTGTCAAAGAATGCGACCTTTCCAACAAGTCAGTTCGTCAAATTTCTGCCCTGCTAGAGCTGCCCCGGTCAACTCTAAGTGCTGTTATTGTGAAGTGGAAACGTCTATGGGGCGGCGCACAATTGGCCCAGTGTCGTCCAGGGTAGGGGAGGGAATGACCGGCAGGGATGGCATTTGCAACGCCAGGGTTGTGGGTTCGATTCCAGTATGAAAAAATAATAATGTATGCACTCACTAACTGTAAGTCGCTCTGGATAAGAGCGTCTGCTAAATGACTAAAATGTAAATGTAAAATGTCTAGAAGTCACAACAGCTCAGCCGCGAAGTGGTAGGCCACACAAGCTCACAGAATGGGACCGCCGAGTGCTGAAGCACGTAGCTCGTAAAAATCGTCTGTCCTCGGTTGCTACACTCACTACCGAGTTCCAAAATGCCACTGGAAGCAACGTCAGCACAAGAACTGTCCGTTGGGAGCTTCATGAAATGGGTTTCCATAGCCGAGCAGCCGCACACAAGCCTAAGATCACCATGCGCAATGCCAAGTGTCGGCTGGAGTGGTGTAAAGCTCGCCGCCATTGGACTCTGGAGCAGTGCCAACACATTCTCTGAAGTGATGAATCACACTTCACCATCTGGCAGTCCGACGGACGAATCTGGGTTTGGCGGATGCCAGGAGAACGCTACCTACCCTCAATTCATAGTGCCAACTGTAAAGTTTGGTGTAGGAGGAATAATGGTCCATACAGAAATGGTTTTTCGAGATCGGTGTGGAAGAACTTGACTGGCCTGCACCGAGCCCTGACCTCAACCCCATCTAAAAATTAAACACTGACTGCGAGCCAGGCCTAATCGCCCAACATCAGTGCCCGACCTCACTAATGCTCATGGCTGAATGGAAGCAAGTCCCTGCAGCAATGTTCCAACATCTAGTGGAATGCCTTCCCAGAAGAGCGGAGGCTGTTATAGCAGCAAAGGGGGGACCAACTCCATATTAATGCCCATGATTTTGGAATGAGATGTTTGACGAGCAGGTGTCCACATACTTTTGGTAATGTAGTGTATCTCAGGTTACTGTAAAATGTGTCCCTTGGTTCAAACTCACCACTGACTGTAGTAGTTAGCATACAGTATATCATCATCATGGTTCAGCTGCAGAGCAGTTCGATCACACGCTTCCTCCAGTTTCTACGGTAACTAGCAAGGTTTGCAATTTGTTGTGGTTGGAGCTACTTGTTTTCAACATCCACCAGGCCTTGAAAGTTTAGTGTACTGTAATTGTGGAGGGTCTGGGGAAAACCACCCCCTAAAGTTAACTAAACTGATTAGGGTTTGCCCAACACACACACACCTGTACACACAGTCATCGCTACCACAACACACCTACCATCCACAGTACAGTCCAATCCAGCTCATTTAGCAGCTTACCACTACACAAGCATGATCTATCCTCTAACCCCTCAGTCAATCACAAACATGAACTATCCTCTAACCCCTCAGCCAATCACAAGCCACAGACAGACACACCACTTTCTGTAATAACACACATATCATGTAGATCAAAGGTAACCACATTATCTCATGTCAGATCATGTCAGATTACTGGGGCTGGTAATGTTATTCAGCCTGGCTGCGTCCCAAATGGCCCCTTATTCCTTACATTGTGGACTACTTTGACCAGGGCCTATAGGGCCTATAGGGCTGTGGTCAAAATCATACTTTATGTAGGGAATAGGGGGCCATTTGGGACGTAGCCCCAGACTACGGTTTCACAACGCATCACCAGGGGCACACTGCCTGCCCTCCAGGACACCTACAGCACCCGATGTCACAGGAAGGCCAAAAAGATAATCAAGGTCATCAACCACCAGAGCCACGGCCTGTTCACCCCACTACCATCCAGAAGGCGAGGTCAGTACAGGTGCATCAAAGCTGGGACCGAGAGAATTAAAAACAGCTTCTATCTCAAGGCCATCAGACTGTTATATAGCCATCACTAGCCGGCTACCACCCGGTTACTCAACCCTGCACCTTAGAGGCTGCTGCCCTACATTCATAGACATGGAATCACTAGTCACTTTAATAATAATGTTTACATACTGCTTTACTCATATCATATGTATATACTGTATTCTATTCTACTGTATTTTAGTCAATGCCACTTCAACATTACTCTTCCTAATATTTATATATTTCTTAATTCCATTCTTTTACTTTATATTTGTGTGTATTGTTGTGAATTGTGAGATACTACTGCACTGTTGGAGCTAGGAACACAAGCATTTCGTTACACCCGCAATAACATCTACTAAATATGTGTATGTGACCAATAACATTTGATTTGATATGTGTCTGTGGGTTTTGTGCTTTGACAGGAATAACCCATTTGTATATGTGGGCTGATAATAGTAGGCTGATGTTATGTATATGAATGCATAATACCATGGTCACGGCCGTTAGCCAAGCGGTTAAGAGTGTTGGGCCAGTTACCGAAACATCGCTTGCCCAAATCCCCGAGCCGACTAGGTGAAAAATCTGTCATTGTGCCCTTGAGCAAGGCACTTAACCCTAATTGCTCCTGTAAGTCGCTCTGGATAAGAGCATCTGCTAAATGACTCAAATGTAAATTTAAAAAAAAAGATATATGGATTATGATGACCGTGGAAAACATTGTATGGCCTATGTGTGTTCTCTCCCTCTCTCTCTGTTACACAGACGCACGCACGCACGCAGACACAGACTCTCTCTCGCTCTCACCGTGGCAGGGAGCTGTACTGTCTCTGCGCCTGTTGGAAGGCGTCTCTCTCCTCCTGCCTCTGTCTCTGTCTCTGCACCTCTACAGACACAGAGTGACGGCCCGTCTGTTGTCTGTCTGTCTGGTACGGGCCTGTGTTGGTGTTGTTGGGCTGAAAGAGGGAGGGGCCAACATCCTGGTTATTCAACACACACAACTATCAGACATACAGTACACCAGAGCCATACATTTAGTTTGGACATTGAGATTCTACCAAATGTATTAGGACGCATTTACAGTACATGAACCTATGAATAAATAGGTGCTAAAGGTTTGCCAAACTCTCTAAATATATGGCTCTGCAATACACTTACCAGGAGCCATCCAGACATGACCTGCTCTTGTCCTTCATCGTGGCCAGGTCAAACAGAGGTTAGACTGACAGACAGAGGAGAGGACGGAGGAGCATGCTGGAGATGCAGGGTGGACGGAGATGAGATGTGATGGATGTTAGTACTGTGGTGTTAATGAAGCAAATGGCTTCCTCTCTTCACCTCCCAACCGACTCCCTAGCACAGGTCATTAACCATCCTGAACAACCAGTGTATGCCACGGCACGCCACGGAGGAACAGCATCATCATTCACTTATCTCCAGCCCCTCCTGGCAGGTGACTGTGGATGCCTCCCAAATGGCACCCTATACACTACATAGTGCACTACTTTTGACCGGGGTCTGGTCAACAATGGTGCACTATATAAGGGAATAGGGTGCCATTTCAGTCACACATCCATATATCCTCCATGGAACACACTGAAACATGTCAGCGTAACGACTAACTACCACGTCTTTGTTCTCCTTCCCCATCTTTCATTAGTGAGGAGGTGGGTGTAATGGCTGCAGATCAGTCATAACACAAAGGCTATCTAATTACTTTGATGGGCTGTGCCAAGTATTCATCCAGAGTGCCACGCTCTAGCGGTGGGAGAGCCATAAAGCGATTTGTCTCGTCATCGCAGGGACACCCACATTAAACCTAATGAATCCCTGCAATCTGGGATTGATTGGCATAACCTGGGCTGTTGATGTGCTGTCGCACTCTATCTGTTGCCATGGCGACCCCAGCCAGACCATGGAACAGGCCAGGGACACCTAAAGGTAGCTGATCTCCATCCATGTCGCTAGCTATCGCATAGTAATTTCCAGATGTGAATTTCATTGCGCATATTACATATTGCATACGTAAATTACAGTTTGCAATATGGTGGCATTGGATATACATGATCCCTTTAGTGTCTTGAAATAATAACTTCGTAACATGAGGAAACAAAGCTAGAAAACCACGACCCATAAAGCTAATCGAGGTATTAAAATGAATGTGGAAGGCGCTAAGATAAAATACAGAGGCAATATAATGCTTTTGGCTGGCGAAAGCAGCCCCTGTGGATGCACTGCTCTCAGTGTGGTAAATGACTGCAATAAAGGTTCCCCAACGTAGAAGCATCACAGTCTATCAGTCACTGTGATGGAATTAGCCAAGGAAACAGGGTTGTGTTCAGTAGGTCACACCGTAGCAGAAGGTTTTGCAACGCAAAGTGACAATCTGTGTTCTTATTGGACGAGTTTAGGTAGTACCCATTTCCAAAACTTTTTCTCCCGTCAGAACACAAGACACATTCCTCCGCTCTCCTCTGGACCAAAGTACTACAGTGAGAAATATACCATCCAGAGGGGTAGCAATCAGAGGTAGAGCTGTCTAACCTCCGCTAACCAGGAACACCTAACTAAACAGCATGCAGAACCGGATCATTAGGGAAGTGATTTGCAGCACACAACTACAGACAGGCTGGACTTCGGAGAAAAGAGACAGCAGGCCCCAGCGGGCTATAGCGGAGATAATGCACAGGGCTGGCCTGACCTGTAATATCAAAGCCTGCTAAGAACACTCACAGTGATAGGGTCAGTGCTTCCACATGGCTGTACTCTCCCTTCACTGTTTACCCTATGGGCCCCAGAGTGGAATTCCCAGAACTCTATTCACCTTGTGTATGTAGAGAACTCATTCTTCTTGCAGACTTGACCATAGAAATATAATTACTAGAACAGACATTCCCATTCAAGTCAGCGTTCGGTGATGGGTGGGCCAATGGCCATATTGAGTGTAGTCTACCCATTGTGTAATTCTATTTATTTGGACTTGTGACACTAGTCTAGACTCTAGATCAGACACTATGGCCACTACAGAAGGCATGAAGATGTTAATTGAACTTTATGTACTGAGTCTGTCTCCTCAAGCTAAATGGAATGGAGTGGGTGGTGCTGGACTGATGGGGTTAATGTTCTGATGTATAGGGCGTCTTATTCTGATCAATTCACTCTAATGATAACACAGCTACAAATGCATTCTGCGTCCCAAATAGCACTCAATCCCCTATATAGTGCATAAAGCATTGCGCAATATAGGGGAAAGGGTGCTATTTGGGACAAAGCCACAATGTATGTATATGCACAGGGAGCATAATTGAGTTTCAGCTACATATGTTACCATTTTCCATACTATGGCAATTAGTATGGCATGGAAAAAAATCTAATAACACAAAATTACTGTTGATTACTGTGCGGTTCTGTAAGAGGTTGGTTATTCTGTTATTTAGAAATAAATTGTGACGGCAATCATGTCTGACTCTGTCCCTTAAATGGTGCGGTCATGGGAACATGGTAACTTTGCTTTCTACCAGTAATGTAAACAAACAATGTGATGGTATTATTAAGGACTTTAAAACGGCTGAGTGATGGGGCTAGAGAAATGTAATAGACAGAGCTATGGATGCAAGGACTGACCATCCATTATATCACATGTATAGTTTAAACCATGTTTGAGGCTATGTAATGTTTGTTTACATTTACATTGTTTACAAACATTGGAGTATAACAAGCTTTTATTTTGGGTTCTGATGGGGTACGACAGTTGAACTAAGCTCATGAGGCATTTATAAGTTATATTCTTCAAGAATCAATGGGTACATATCATTCATTTATTAGTCCAAAAATGGATGTAGCAACCGCAGATTGCCCCTTTAATGACCATGTCTGAGTCCCAAATAGCACCCTATCCCCATAAGGCTCTGGTCAGAAGTAGTGCATTATATAGGGAATAGGGTGTCATTTGGGACACAACCTGTATGTGCATGCTTTACTGTGTAGAGAAACAAAGTGCAGCTTGAAAGCCCTTTCCCACACACATAGCACACTCAGTGTCTCAAAACAAGACCAAGCTTTTTATTTGATTTATCATCATCCCCTATAAAAGAAGCCCAGGGCCCGTATTTATGACACGTCACAGAGTAGGACTGCTGATCTAGGATCAGTTCTGCATTTGAGATCACAATGAATGATCCTAGCTCAGTCCTTCTACTCTGATCCACCTGATTCATACAGCCCCAGAGGTCAATGGAGTCTGTTCATGAGCTCTCAGTTTACAACTGTTGGAAAATTCATTAAAATCAATCCTTAGACAACATAATATAAACGCCATATAAAGATTATAAAAAGCTACATGTTGACAGTGTCTAAACCAGCACTAAAAACAACATCACACATATATAGGCCTAAGTGATGAAAGTTGAATTAGTAAAAATGTACGTCATAACAATGTATAGGTTAATACAACAAATATTTAAATATATACAGCAGTGGTTATATGGACAAAGACATCACACAACAATATAGAAATATTAAAGTAGTGACTTTCAACCATTAGGCAAATGATTTAGCTGATAATTCATCATTTTACGACGACGTAACAGACAGAATGTAAAATGTATACTTAAGGCATACTGCTGGTGCAATGGATGGTAAAATGGGACATAGTGCAGTCTTAATATAGGGACCAGATACCTTAAATTACATCATAGAATGGTCTTACTGTCTTTAAGAATTATGAAGGCATAAGTTAACACTCATCCTATTTTTGTGGCCATGCCATCAAAAGAGAGTACAAATTCCAAAACAATCCACACCACCTAAACCTCTTCTCTAAAAAGGCACAGTTAAAACCGACAAGCTGTGTTTATCACACTGAAAGCACCCCCCACAATTAGACACACACAGACAGGAGTCCATTGGTCCATGAGAAGGTGGGCGGGTCCTTCTTTTGTGAGTGACAGACAGACAGACAGACAGACCAACAGATAGCATTGATGGCAGATGGGATGAGAAGGGTGGTACGATGGGGGTGGTGGTTGTGACGGGTGGGGTTAGAGGTCAGGTGAGCGTGCCAGAGGGTCACATGCTCCTAGACACATGCAGGTGGAGATGTTGGTCACATCCCAAATGGCACCCTATTTTCTATGTAGTGCACTACTTTTAACCAGGTCCCATAGGCCTCTGGTCAAAAGTAGTGCACTACATAGGGAATAGGGTGCCATTTGGGACTCAAACGTTGTTGTAAGAGTTATTGGGTCGTTCCATATGATTTCAATCCCTTTCTGACTGCACCCCTTTTGATTTGAACAAAACCTTCCATACATGTTTGCCTGTGGTAGAAGTGGTCAAAAAGGTTGAGTTTGATATCATTTAAAAGCTTACAAACGGGGTTGTCAAAGTATTTTATAACTTAAACTTTGAGCACTTCTGGGTCACTCCACAAAAAGAGTGCCTTTTGCGTCCCTTTGATATTTAATGTCGAAATTGTGCACCAATATTGAACGATAAAAGCCTGTTATATTCAATGAAGTGCCTTTTAATATAGACCACATGGAGAATTCAATAAATCTGACTTTAAATATGAATAAAGACTAAAGTGCCAAAACTAAGGATTTTAACATGTCCCTCCATACACCCTCTGACTTCTAGGAAGATTTTAAACCACTTAACCCCAACATTTCTCCACTTAACCCCAACAGTTTCTACAAGTTTTCACCATCATTCTAAAGCCCTAGTTATTTTGTTGCTTTGACAAAGTCATTTCTGAATATTATTATTTATTTCATGTTATTAGTGATTCCTTTTAAGGGGGAAAAAAAAACAGTCCCTCATTTTAAGGTCAACCTTGTTACATGAACTGAACTCTCATTTTAATATGGTGAAACTATTCCTTAAAAAAAGAAAAAAAGACTGAACATCTAATAGTCACAGTGTAAAAGCAGGTGAGCTGGTTCTACTCATTTTCTGGTGTATTGTGGTAGAAAACTGAGCGGGATGAGCATAACACATCAACCCTGTTACCCATAGATAGATAGACAGGCAAGAAATGTTTTAAAAATACAAAAATTGTGACGCTAGCATTCAATTGCCCCTCCCTGTTGGACACAACAAGCTTCCATTCCCCTGTCACAAGGGGATTTATGGCTGATTTAAGATGAAGTCGTCAAACCTGTTACGGTCGTTGAAATCATATGGAACAACCCTATTAGAGAAGAGCCTGGGTTAGGTGGGAGACCCATAGAGGAGTTAATGAGAAGAAGCTCCATAGGCTGAGGTTGTTCAGTCAGTGTCATAATGGACAGTCCATACTCAGGGCAGGCCAAACCCGGTGGTTGTGAGGTTAGTGGTAGTAGGAGGCTCCACGATGTAGCCAGCCAGCCAGCCAACCAGCTAGCCAGTCAACCTGTCAGCCAGCCAGCCAGCCAGCCAGCCAGCCAGCCAGCCAGCCAGCCAGCCAGCCAGGGTATTAGCAGCCCTCCTAGGCTGACAGTGGAGGTGGTGGTTGGTGGTGGTTAGTGAGGGGGTCCATGGAGGTCATCCATGGAGAGCCAGGCAGGCCCGGTCTGGTTCTCAGCCCGGTCTCAGACACTCACCCAGGGCTGCTCGAAGCTGTAGGTGCGTCTCCGGTCGTCAGGGTCGTCGTCCCCCCTGGCCTGCTGGAACTCGTGCCTCAGCCGCTGTATCCGGTCATGGTTGCTAGGCGCTAGTCTGTTGCTGCAAGGGGGAGAGAGAGAGGGAGGAAATACTACATGAGCGTGGTGGTGGCCCATTTGGACAAGGCTGTGTCCCAAATAGCACACTATTCCCTATATAGTACACTACCTTTGACCAGAGCCTATAGTGCACTACTGTACATTAGGGAATAGTGTGCCCTGTTTCTATCAGCATAGCTGGGAAATGGTCCAGAAACTGGACTTTAATACACAGTAGTAGAGCCCAGGGGCGGTGTGTTCAATAGGGCGATATGGGCGACGCACTGCCAAACGGGAAAAGGAAGGGATTTTTTTTCTAATCAATTATATCACGGCAACAGTAGTTATCAGTGTTGTAATCTAGACGTCTGATCTGCCACAGTGCCACTAAATGTCCAATCAGGCTAAAGTCGTGCTTCAAATGGCCCCCCCCCCTTTTGGGGCGATTTCAGTCAGGTTGAAAATCGCCCAGAAGTCTGTCATAGACTCCCATGTAAAATCTATTTTTTTCAAATATCAGAGCTTTCAATACAATCTCTATGGGTTTCTGAGGGCTTGCACTTACGCGCTTTCGTCATACGTAACATAACCATGAACGTAACTAAGAAAAGAGCGGGTAGCCTCATCAATCAATTCACGTACTACTATCAAGATGGCTATAGCGTTCAGTGCAACTCGATTGTCTCTTTGAAATAAGTTACTTTTTGTCGGCGAACAAATGAAGATAAATTGGCAACGAAACAATTAGGACCTCCCAGACCAAATTTAATAATTCAACAGGTTTCTACTAAAGGGGGGAAGTCCTACACCCGAGGATTTTCAAAAAATTGGTACGAACGAAAAACCTGGCTAGCAGGCTGCGATGTAGCTAATGCAGTCTTCTGCTACCCCCTGCTTACTCTTTCACCCTGAAGGCGGCACGGCAGACAGCACCGCTTGGACAGCGACTGGTGTGTAACGGACATGCACCATCTTTCAGGAAAGATTAAGAAACATGAGCTGTCAAAGACCCACATGGATAGCTGTTTGAGATTGTCTGCTTTGGGGAGAGTGAACATTCCCACTCAACTGGATGAGGGATACAGGCTAGCTGTCCGCCGCCACAACGATGAGGTTAGTGTTGATAATCACAAGTTTACTGGAGAACTGAAACTGACAAGATAGGACCCTTTTGTCCATTGTTATTGGATAGGAACAGAACTTATAACCAGCTCCTGACCTAAATGGATCTTAGCACAACATTTTACTCAACATATCATATTCCATATTCACTATAACAAATATATTTACTACGACATTAGCAAGAACCGCCACATCCTCAGCCGGCTAATCCAGTGTGTGACGTTTTGCGGAGTGTTTGAGTTAGCTTTGCGAGGCAAAGATGAAACTGAGGGCTCCACCAACCCTGGTAAGCCAACACTTTTGAGATCAGTCAATAAATGCTTCTGGTATTGACTTATATGCTGCCCCTGTCTTCATGTTGTTGCTGGACATATCTTTTTTAAAATGTGTGTAGGTCACCTAAATCATCAGAAAAATTGCCCCCCCTGAGAATTTTTTCAGGAGCCGCCACTGGTAGAGCCTCAAATAACATGAATCAAACTAATGTATACTAATGTATTATTCATAACCATGGAGTGTGGTGTCCCTAATGGCACCCTATTCCCTATATAGTGCACTACTTTTGACCAGAGCCCTATGAACTGTAAAGAGAATAGGGTGAATTTGGGACGTAACCAAGAACAAAGCAAAGTGGTGTGAACAGTAGATAGTCTAGCTACATCCTCAGGCCACACATCACTCACCAACTTCCTTCCATTGTCTCTAAGCCCACTCTTAACAGACAACCATGGCCCATTAAAACACATCACCTGGCTCGCCTGCTTACTTATTAAACTGCCCTTGTCCAGAGAGAGAGGTCCTCTGTAGCTCAGTTGGTAGAGCATGGCGCTTGCCATGCCAGGATAGTGGGTTTGATTCCCGGGACCACCCATACGTAAAATGTATCCACACATGATTGTAAGTCGCTTTGGATAAAAGCGTCTGCTAAATGGCATATATTAAGTCTCTACATTATACAATAGAGCAGACCTTGTCCCAGAAGCAATGATGATGATGATGATGATGATTAGGGCTGCTACGTTGACCGTATTCCATGTGACCGTTGGGTCACAGTAATCTCCTCTTATGCACTCTGGAGATGCATTGGTAGTACCCAACTCGCTAACGATCATCAGGTCACTAATGGCTGGTACTCAGCGCTCTATTGTCCCTCTAACCACTCTGACATCAATGCAAATAAAATCAAAAATCACATCATTATCATCAAAACAGTATAGTGCTTTTAAAACTCACCTCACTGTGATTGATTTGAAGAAAGAAGTTCAACAACAGGTTGAAACAGTGTAAAACATGGTTCATTATGGATGTTGTTCCAAAGCCTAACAACGAAATGGACAGCTCTTTCAACACCCATACGCATATTAGAGTTTATGCATACGCATACCTGATAGAAACCCTGAATTAAAATGATGATTGTGCCATTATACAATACATAGCCTACTGCATATTACATATCCAGAAAAACATAATTGGTCTAGCCTATACACCCAAATTAAACAAAATCTAGTAAATCTTCTTTGAGTGTGGACTGTATTATTATGCATACTGGATGGACTGGTTACCTTATGTTATGCTCCAAAATGTCTATCCATGAGTCTGGGAGAGAACGTATGGGCCTAGGCGATGCTGTTAGTTCATTGATTGTGCAGGGCGGCTTACAGAGTTAGCCTACAATTATAGTGAAGTTGCATTTGATTTTGAATAGCCTAGTAATAGGGATTTTTTATTTATTTTCATAATTAATAGGCTCACATTACCTTCAGCTACTGAATACATCACCACCGTGCGTTTCCATCTCCTCCACTCTCTCTCCTTCATTCCTTTCTCAAGCAAGCAAAGAGAGGAGCTGTCAACAGTTTACTATCGATGTTTCCGAACAGATTTAACTTGGTTTCCCAAATGAAGCACTGGGTAGCTGCAGGAACATGGTTGGAGAGCCCATGGAATACAGAGTTGGAATATCACCTGTCGTGCAGCAAGAGGCAGCATGCTCCTCAAACAGTGGTTGATGTGTGTAGCGAAATAACCGGAGTCGCCTATCCAGCATGAGTGAAAAACAAACTTGTGGGACAGTGGCCTCCGTTCGCTATTCGAGTGCATTCGGATGACATGTCTTTTTCCCCCTGTTCCTGCCCATTTGATAATGATAATATTATCATTACATATTAGAAAAGACCAGATTAAATTGAGAATATTCTGATGGGTGAAAATATGATCACCTGATGAGAGAACAGTTGTGCAGCCTGAGGCAAGGAACAGAGCGCACACTTTTTTTGCGACTCACAAATCAGCAATAGCCTATAGTCGCATCATGCAGCCCATATATGTTTAGATTTCTAAGACATTCTAAGGTTTGTATCATTCACAACTAAAGTTTCCAAATAACTAAATCTAGCGTAGCCTATAGGACCTGTTTCAAATGATCACTTTTATACTCAACATAGCCTTCATATGCGCACTTGCTCCGGAATGGGAAAAATATACTTTCTATTTTATTCAGCCAAGTTCAATTATATTCTTCTTACTATAGAATCATATAATATAAAATAATGGCATGGGACGAATAAGCATATCTTGTCAGCTAAATGAACAAGCCTACAGCCTATGGCTTGGTGCAGAGCCGGATAACATACAGTACACAACTCCTATTCTGTTCTTCTGATTTACATTTTCTTCACTATCTTTCTTTACAACTGCCTAAATTAAATAATGGATTTATTGTGATGGTGTATATTAAATTGATTTATTATACTTTTTAAATGTAGATGTTCCAAAGGCGTGCATCAGCGGCTTGTATGAGTAGAGGCATGGAGATGCTAAATGTGTTTATGTTAATTTGGGGGGCAATTACCATGAGACCGGCAGATCTTTGCATGACAATGACAGAGGGGAGAGGATGCCTATCTATGTATGTGAGAGGATAGCTGTGGAGGTCATCTGTGCTCCCATAGAGCGAAGCTAATTAAAACCTGACATCATCTCTGTTAGACTCTATAATATAATATAATATAATATAATAATATGCCATTTTTTTTTTTTTTTTTTGTGTATGGGTGGTCCCGGGGATCGAACCCACTACCTTGGCGTTACAAGCGCCGTGTTCTACCAGCTGAGCTACAGAGGACCACTCTACCACTCCGAACAGCCATGTCAGGTGACTAGAGAGCATCAGCAGGAGAGAGATCAGAAGTTGACTTTTCAACTTTCAAACACAGCCAGTAACTTTTCTGGACATCCATTTATGATCTCTTTAAAAGCCCCAAAAGGCCAGCTCTTAAAACTCTCCTGTCTCAGGTGGTCCAATGAAATAGCCTTATACAATATCCCAGTCATTAACAACAAAGCATTGCTTCCAAAACCAGACAACTGAAACAGACAGACACATTTAAGGCTGTTTGGGGATCTATGAAATGACCTCATACATTATCTCAATCATTACCAAAAAAGCATTGTATCAATACCTAAATCATTACTGACAAACATTGGTTCCATAACCAAAGAACAGACCCATTAAGCCTGTTTAGGGTTGGAAACCGCCATGTGTGATCTGTCAAATCACTGTGATATGTAACTCAGCTATATCCCCTTTGAACACATATGACCCCGGGGCACCATGTGTGACCCTGCCTATAGGTCACAGCACCATCAGCATTCGCGACAACAGAAACCCTTTATCATATATTAGCCTGCCATGCAACCTGTGAACAGATGGCTCTCAACAGAGCACTGGGCTGTTCCCAAATGGCACCCTATTCCCTACATGGTGCACTATGTTTGACCAGAGCCCACTGGGCCCTGGTCAAAGGTAGTGCACTATATAGGGAATAGTGTACCATTTGGGAGCACAGTAGGATAATTTTATTTTGAACAGTCATTGTTTAGAATGATAGTTTTAGAGCACAGTCCCTTTTCATAATAATGGGGGTGACTAATATTGAATATGAAAAAGTGTGTGTGTGTCTCAGTGTGTGTGTCTCAGTGTGTGTGTGTGTCTCAGTGTGTGCGTGTCTCAGTGTGTGTGTGTCTTAGTGTGTGTGTGTGTGTGTCAGTGTGTGTGTGTGTGTGTCTCAGTGTGTGTGTGTGTGTGTCTCAGTGTGTGTGTGTGTGTCTCAGTGTGTGTGTGTGTGTGTCTCAGTGTGTGTGTGTGTGTGTGTCTCTCAGTGTGTGTGTGTGTGTACCCTATTCTTCTACATCATAACACTGTGTATGTAATGGAACAGGAATGTTTGGATGTTTCAAGGACCAAGGGAATTATCAAAGGCTTGTCTTCACTGACAAAAAACTAAATCAACCATAAAAAGTAACAAAAGAGAGTTAAGAAAATCCCCTGTAGTGAAGTGTGGGAGATTAAACATTAGATGAATTTCATCCTATGGACAAGCTCACTCAATATCTGCTGCTGTGTCTGGCCTGAAAGGTCAGCGTTTACAGACTTCGGCCTCTGGGGCTCAATAACAACAGACTCCCAAATGGCACCCTATTCTTCATGTAAAGCCCTATGGGCCCTGGTCAAAAGTGATGCACTACATAGGGAGCCATTTGGGATGCAAGCTTGGCCTGGGCAGGTGACTGGTGAGCTATTTATTTCATGTTATGATAGGATGTGGCCTTTAAGTTCTGTCTGTGGCTTAAAGCTTCGTCAGGACAAAGACACAATAAAAGAGGCTGCGACTTCAGCAGAACAAAATGATGCCTACAGCCAAACAAAACCACTTCAAAAAGTGCTTGGAGGCCCAGAGAGTCACACCAGTTTGGAGTGAATAGTAGCCTAGGAATGGAGCCACAGCTCTGAGTCCGGCCTTGACCTGGAGGAGTCGGTGGAGCTGTCCCCCAGGCGCTGACTCACGTCTGTGTGGCCCTGTGTGAACGTAAAGACGTACAGGAATCTCATCATTTCCTCTCAAATGGACAGCAGATGTTCGCTGCCATAAATCTAAAACTCCAGTTTGGGCGGGACAGAGAAAAGTGACGGGTCAAACTTTAAGCCAAAAGGATCCGTCACATTAGCCTGGTCACAGATTTGTTAGTGTTGTCTTGCCAACTCCTATGGGTGGCTAGGCAACACAAACAGACAATGACCATAGGAAGTTGGCTAGACAGTACAAACAGATCTTGAAACCAGGCTACTGTCAGATCACAGTCCCTATCAATTCTCCCCCCATGGAGGTCAAAATCAAAGGCTGTTTATATGGGAGCCCCTACAGTAGAATGTAAAGTACAGTAAATGACAGTAGCAGCTGATCCAAAGGCTCCTAATCCCCTGGATTACATCTGAATGGCCTCTTTCAGAGCTCCTCCTCCTTCCCAGCCTCAGGACATAACGGGAGCATCTCACAGATAGAATGGTACATAACAGAAATGGAAAACACCCATCCTGATCATATTAATATGGGGGGAGTTGGAGGCCAGAGGGAAGGGAAGAGTACCACTGGGAGCGACCGAGGCTTTATGAATACATCTCTGGATGAGCAGATCATCCCTGTTCAATCCCAGGCTGTAAAAGCCAGCTGCTGTTCTGTCAATCTCACCACCAGCAGTCAGCCCAAGAGGGCTCTTTCTATGCACTGTTTTTACTCCACAAATGAAATTTGTCTGTGTTGTGTGTGTAAATAAATGTATGCTATTTTCTTGGCCAAGGCTCACTTGCATTAAATCGTCAAACTAAATGTAGCTTCCCTGGTTAAATAAAAGATAAATACAAATAAAATAAAATCAGACAACAGGAGTCACACATGATTATGGGATCATTAGGATGGAGACAGATATTGTTATGATGAAGACCCTTGTGGTGAATGGTGTGCTCTTGGTTGAGGGGGAATGCAATAGTGACCTTCCTTCTTAAGCTGAGAGGAAAAGAACACATCTCTTTTGCTGCATTGACACAGGCCACAGGATCAAGGATCCATTGTTGCATTTTATTAGGATCCCCATTAGCTGTTGCAATAGCAGCAGCTACTCTTCCTGGTGTCCACACAAAACATGAAATAATACAGAACATTACATTTACATTTTTACATTTACGTCATTTTAGCAGACGCTCTTATCCAGAGCGACTTACAGTTAGTGCATACATTATTCTTTTTTATTTTCATACTGGCCCCCCGTGGGAATCGAACCCACAACCCTGGCGTTGCAAACGCCATGCCCTACCAACTGAGCTACCTCCCTGCCGGCCATTCCCTCCCCTACCCTGGACGACGCTGGGCCAATTATGCGCCGCCCCATTGGTCTCCCGGTTGCGGCCGGCTACAGCAGAGCCTGGATTCGAACCAGGATCTCTAGTGGCACAGCTAGCACTGCGATGCAGTGCCTTAGACCACTGCGCCACTCGGGACAGTGGTCAACAGCTCAAGAACAGAACTAGATATATTTTAAACGTCACACAAAGCCTATATATCAGTACATACACACAATATCTAGGTCCAATAGGGGAGAGGCGTTGTGCCGTGAGGTGTTGCTTTATCTGTTTCATGAAAGTAGGTCTGCTGTTCATTTGAGCAAACTTTGATGGAAGGGAGTTCCATAACACCGTACATTTTCTTGAATTTTTCTGTATTTAGGGACTGTGAAAATACCCCTAATGGTATGTCTGGTGGGGTAAGTGTGTGTATCAGTGCTATGTGTAAGTTGACTATGAAAATAATTTTGAATTTAACACATTAACGATTCTTATAAAAACAAGAAGTGATACAGTCAGTCTCTTCTCTACTTTTAGGCAAGAGAGACTGGCATGCATAGTATTGATATTAGCCCTCTGATTACAGTGAAGAGCAAGACGTGCTGCTCTGTTCTGGGCCAGTTGCAGTTTTTCTAGGTCCTTCTTTGCAGCACCTGACCATTTGACTGGGCAATAATCAAGATGAGATGAAACTAGAGCCAGCAGGACTTGCTTTGTTGAGTGTGGTGTCAAAAAAGCAAACCATCTCTTTATCGCGGACAGACCTCTCCCCATCTTCACAACAATTGAATTAATATCTTTTGACCATGACAGTTTACAATCCAAGGTAACACCAAGTAATTTAGTCTCCTCAACTTGCTCAACAGCCACACCATTCATTACCAGATTCAGCTGAGGTCTAGAATTTAGGGAATGATTTGTACCAAATACAATGCTCATATTTTTTGAGATATTCAGGACTAGTTTATTATTAGTTATGATTGGTGGGATCATAATCATATTGTGGGGCGGTATATATATTACATTAAGTGCCTTTCTGACAGCTGTGATTGGTCCATTAACTGATTGATTGATTTGATATGATGGATGGGGGCTCCCATGAACCCTAGGCCTAGAGAGACAGTGGTGTGTGGGTGGCGCATTCAGCCATGTTCCACCCAGCCCTCTTACTTTTGGCTGCATCTCAAATGTCACCCTATTCACCTATATACTACAATACTTTGGGCCCTGGTCAAAAGTAGTGAACTATAAAGGGAATAGGGTGCCATTTGGGACGCAGGCTTTATCTCTCTGTTTACGACCCCCCACCACCACCATCCATCACACTCGACATCTCACCAGTCGATCATGGCCATGACAGCAGGCCATTATGGCAGAGCTGACTGTGATGGTGTACAGTAGGGGTTGAGCAGTGTTAATACTGTATTCACATGATCATTTTGCACCTCTATTGTTGCCTGTGCTTTCAGTGTATTTATCTAGTGATGTGTAACAGATTCCTAGGGCCTGAAGGCTACTGTTCTATGAACAATTTTGGAGGAGGCCTAGATATTTCACTATTGTCTGCTTTGGTGAAACAGTAGACATTATATAGTACAATGAAGCATGCATGAGATGCACTGTCTGTATGGTACAGCAGCGATTTTAGATATGGCACTTATATGACATAGATAGCAAGGCATGCTTAGAAGGCTCCCTTCCTAGTAAAAGAGACAGTGTTACCAATGGAGGACAAGCAGTTCAATTTATTTGCTTGTTGTAGCCTAGTACACCATTGATAGGTTGGTTTGTAAAGCATGACATTGGCCATAAATTAAAAGCAGGCCTATATCATGTTACACACATTGTTGCTACTGGTGGTGCCATAACCCTGAAATGGAAAACCCACTTAACCATCTCTCTCCATAACAGTACAATTTAGTGCGAGTAAAAATCAGGCAAATGTTTTATTACCGTCTCAGACGTTCTGACAGCAGTTGCTCTGGAAATATATGGATACATTGCAAAACTGAAATGCCACTTAAATCTATTCCATTATAGTCTGTGGATTCCAATGTTTACTGTCAAGGAGGTTACACTTGGTTGCAGCCAATGGGATGGCTATTACTTTAACCTAGGGCCACTGGAGCAAGGGAAGCTTGGCTGCATATGGCTACCGTTGGACATTTAGATGTGTTTGGGATAATTGTTTGGTTATAGCCATTGCTTTGTTTTGCCATTTCATAACTAAATGCAACAGAATCATTATTTCACTTGACTGAAACTGGCTCACTGAAATGAAAGGTTGTGATGATAAAACACAAAAGGTGACATTTTGTCATCCTAATTTAATACAGTTGCTTAAAACATTCTAAAAGTAGTAAATAATTCATCACTTCGAATTATGACTTCTTGATTTATGATGTTGGGCTGAAATGTATCCTCCCTTGAATCTTTCAAGGAGCTACCGTGGAGCTGGTAGGTAGTTGTGCCAGTGTCTGGCCAGGAGAGGCAGAGCCAGTGTCCAAAATGGCACCCTGTATCGTGTCCTACTTATGACCAGAGCCCTATGGACCCTATAAAAGGAATAGGGTGCTATTTGGAACGCACAGCGTATTTTATCAGTGTGAGTAAGCTCTCTCCGTATTTGTTCTGATATACACAGATAAAGACAGTTGGCAGTATGTGTTGGCTCTTGGCCAGAGGCACTGCCCTTTGAAGAGAGGGTGTGTTTTGAATCGCGTCTGAGAACGTTTGGAACGTGCATAAAGAGTCTAATTTTGCCCGGGTCATGGACAGTAGCTGAAACCATTAGCCTTGGGTCCTCTGGCCCACTGAGCAAGTGGATATATCAAAACCCTTTTTTTTAGCAGTCTACTTTCCTCTCAGTGGAGAACAAACTAGACCAAACACAGTATGACCTGGGTTTCTACCTCAAATGCACTGCGTTTGATTGAATTACTAGTCTAGGCCTGTGTGTGATGACTTTGGTATTGATCAGCATCTACTGCAAATGAAGACTCAACGCAACTTCATTACAGTAATTATCCCAGATAATCCTGAGATTATATTTTATCCCAGGTAGTACATTTACATAATGAGTCTAAAAATCCTTAGCTTTTAGCACCATCATGTAGAACACAGACAGAGGCGTATGGAGCATCTAATCTACACAGAGTATCAACAGGCCTAAACAGAAGTCTTCGTGAGGACTCAAGGATTTAAGCTACTCTCAGCTGGGTCACAGTAGCAGATAGCAGGGAGCCAGGCACCGGAGTACAACATACTGACTAAGGGCATCAGTCAGTGAGTCTCTCAGTGGATGTTTTGAGAAGCTCTCGATCAATACAACTTGATTATCAGATTTTGCATCTTTTCTTTGTGAGAGGATGTAAGGCCCGCTTCTCTCCATCTGATAACATTACTCAACCAACTGCTACAGCTGCCGCTGGCTTTGGACCTATACTCATTTCTTCATCAGCTGGGTATATCAGTAACCACATCAGCTGGGTATATCAGTAACCACATCAGCTGGGTATATCAGTAACCACATCAGCTGGGTATATCAGTAACCACATCAGCTGGGTATATCAGTAACCACATCAGCTGGGTATATCAGTAACCACATCAGCTGGGTATATCAGTAACCACATCAGCTGGGTATATCAGTAACCACATCAGCTGGGTATATCAGTAACCACATCAGCTGGGTATATCAGTAACCACATCAGCTGGGTATATCAGTAACCACATCAGCAAATGTTTTTTCTATCCTCATATTGTAGTTAGCAAAACAGTCACATCTCTGGGTATAAATCCCAGAGAATGAATCTGTTTAATTAAATGTTTAATTAAAATGGTGACTTTTAATTAAGAATCAAGTCAATGATTTTATTAGAAATTCACATGAAGGATTATTCTCTGATGCGGTAAGATAGCCATCAAACACACAGGGAGTCCCTATGGAATATTCCCTTGTTCTAATATAATTTCCCCCTGTTCTAACATAATATTGCCCTGTTCTACCTACCCCTTCCCGTATTTCCATGCAAACAGAGGTCTGTTTTCAGTAAATCAGATACTGTAAATCCATTTAGATAGACCTTTTGCTTTTAGGACAAAAAGATTGATGGATAAAGATGAAATGTTCATAGGATTGTTGAATTGCCTTGCTTTTACAAGTCCATACTGCCCTTACCTCGTCTGCTAGGCTTACAGATGGTATGTTTCCTTAAGGACTTGCAGTCTTAAACAGATGCTGCAGTGGAGAATGTAAAGGGAATAAGAAGGGTTGTGAGAAAGGGTATGTCTCTCTATAGGGCCATGGTCAAAAGTAGTGCACTATATAGGGAACAGGGTGCCATTTGGGACACTTTCACGAGCCCTCTCCATGCATAACGTAATGGTGACCGTTCTAGTCCTGATAGAGAGAAAGATAGGAGCACATAGGTGGCTGGGCAATTTGGAGGATGTTTACTAGGACAATGAGTACATAGGACAATGAGTACATGACTATGGGTGCAGGGGCATGCACGTATATTTCTTTCTTCCACTGGATCATGGAATGCATATGTGATTCAATGGGGAAGTCAATATAGAGATGTTCTGACGGACATTCTGTGGACAACCTAAGTGGACATTCCAAGTGGACACTCCAAGCAGCACAGTCTGACAGTCAAAGGGCCACAGTATGAAGCCTACGTTGGCCATCCCATATATCATGATCTGGGCTTTAGCTGAAGCTTATCTGGATATACTCTGAATAAGGGACACATTATTCACATAAATGAAAAGCGGATTCCAGTCATCAATACTATGCAACGAAAGAGATCATCCTTTCCAAAGCAGCAACAGGAAACAGATGAGAGGCCCATATGGCTGGGCTAAGGCGACTGAAGCCAAAGGAAATATCAAGAGCGAGGATAAAGGATAAATTTAATTCTAATTTGAATTCTGGAAAGGAATGGGGGAGGCCTGACTGATAGTGTAATTTTAATGCACCATGATAACTTCAGCATGCGGCGGGCGATGGTGGCGGAGGGGGGAAATCAAATTGAAGCTGTCCAATTTCTAGGCTGGATCATCTGCGCTCTGAGGAGTATGGCTTTTCCGTTTCTCAGTCAAAAAAATGGGGAGTGACTGATGGCACTTTCAGGGTAATTGTTCCCCATTTCAGAGGCTTTAAAGGAATACTTCAGGACTTTAGCATGTCTTTAGCACGCAGACAAAAGTATACAAGGGTTCATCTGACTCTGGGGAAGTAGACAACAGGCTTCATTGCCAAAATCCTGAAGTATCTCTTTAATGTCTGTAGAGTTGGAGAAAACCTAGCTAGCATCTAATAAATAATGATTTAGTCAAATTATAGGCCATTAGGGGGCATTATCGGATTGTCATATTTTGCTGATGATTGTTAAACTGTAAGAAATGCCAATAAATATATTGTAAAAAATAAAAATTGAGGTCATTATGATCCCGAGGCAGGCAGGGCCCTTTCTCGCGCTTCAGGACTTCGTCCCAAATGTGCTATACGGCCTCTTGTCAAAAGATAGGGCATTGGTTAAAGGTAGTGCACTATGTATGGAAAGTGTGCCATTTGGGACACATCCTAGGACTTCTCACTGAGGTGAAAATGGAGGAAGAAAAGTAGACAAGTCTTTGTTCTGGGACTGCAGTGATGTTTTGGAAAAGTAACACCTTTTGATGCTGTATGATTACTATGTTAATCTGTGTCCAATATGCCACAGAAACAGTTCAGTCAGGCTACATCCCAAACAGCACCCTATTCCCTACATAGTACACTACTTTTGACCAGGGCCTATAGGGCTGTGGTCATAAGTAATGCACCATATAGGTAATAGAGTGTCATTTGAGACGCAGCCACAGTCGAGTAAAGCCTAGCTATGCCTGCTGTTTTAGATGGCTTATCTATTGCAACACGCAAGAACAAAAACGAAGTCTGTATTCAATTCACCCTGATGTAGGTTCCCCTGTGTAGTTTAGAAACATTGACTCTAACACTTTGAAGATACACATTCTGACTGGGGTGTCTCTGTTTTATGAGGGCTTTGCATGGGAACACACCATGGTTTTGACCTAATTGGCACCCTATTCCCTATATAGTGCACTATTTTTTACCAGAGCTCTATGAGCACTATATAGGGAATAGGGTGCTATTTGAAAACACAAACCATGAGAATGTTCAGGGTAAGCTTAATGCCCCTCGTTCACACAAAATCCAACGCACATTTATGAAATAAAAATGAAAAGATGACCAGAAATGAATTACATTTGTGAGAGGAAACAAGCAGAAAGAGGACAATCTTCAATGAAACATCCTGTTTAGGAAACTCCAAGGGGAAATGAGGCAACTGGCTCTATCTGAAGGTCTGAATTCCAAATGGCACCCTATTCCTTTTATAGTGCACTACCTTTTACAAGGGCCCATAGGGCTCTGGTCCAAAGTAGTGCACTATAAAATAAATAGGTTGCCATTTGGGACTCATCCAAGAAAATGTTCAAATTAAGGCACCAAAACACATGTAGTAAATCAATTAAGTTAACTAATCTTATTTTCATTTATGGTCCAGGGACTATGTGTGATTTTGATATAATTATTTCTGAAGCTTAGAGATCACTGAGGGACTGTTTGCATTGGATAAAATACAACGCATATGGACCACACTTATCTACTCATATTTAAACAGACAGCAAACAGGAGAGCAGATGTTGCAGTTAAACCCAGGTTGAATCCCAAATGGTACTCTATTACCTTTATAATGCACTACTTTTGACCAGGGCCCATAGAAGTGCACTATATAGGGAATAGGGTGCCATTTGTGACATAGTCCCTGTATCTCCCACCAGAGCTTCAATCCAGGAGCACCATGGGCACCCTCTCCTTGGCCCAGAGGGGAAGGAACAGACCAGGTGCTGAGGAGGGGAAGGAACAGACCAGGTGCTGAGGAGGGGAAGGAACAGACCAGGTGCTGAGGAGTGAACCAGGCTTAATCCGTTTTCCCAGGACGCAGCACAAACACTTTCCTACCTTAGTTTCTCAAGACAAATATTTCAAAGGAGGCCATCAAAATATCCACCCCATCCGTGGGGCAGAGCGGTTTCCTCCCCTCTGCCTCCCCACCAAACTCCTTCCTGTCTTCTCATTGTACTGACCTGTAGGGACTGCCCTCAGATGGAATGCTCTACTCTCTGTGCTGCCATGTGTGTTTAGAGATGGGGCCTTGGTTCTTCCAACCAAATGCTGTTCATACATATAGTTCGTAATGCTGTTCATTCTGGGGTTGACTGCTTTTTCACCTGTGTAGGTGTGCTGCAGAAAGATAGAGTAAGCTCCCCATGTTAACCATTTACTACAGTATTCTATACCTGTCCAGCAGACATGGCTGTCCTACTATAAGAGCAGTATATAGTATTTCTAGAAATGTATTTAAAAATGTAATATGCAGAAATCGCACCGCCATTTTCTGCTTGCTAAAATTAAAATAGTTTGCCTAATTTCTGTTTATGTGACAAAACAAGCAGTCATTGTGTAGAGAATCCGTGCACCATCTAAACCGCTGTGAAATATATTTTCCATAACCAAAAATACTGTATTTTCAGCTGTTTGAAGCTGGTGTACAAAACAGAAAGTAAAAGACAAAAAAACTAAACTTAAGAACAGGAAGCATAGAAATAGCGCACATAGAACAGATCTGCCACTTGTTATACTTCCTTGCAATGAGAATGACAGATCTATAACTCACATTTCTAAGTGAATTTGGTCAGGTCACACCAAAGGTTATATATTATAGCTTTAATTAGCACTATGTTTTAACATAGTAATAATCAGAAAAGCAACATGAGGCATCTTCTTATTTGAACATGCCTCTAAATGTAGGTGAAAAGGTGAACCTGACCAGTAAACCTATGGTATAGGGGCATTTCCATCAAAAAGGTTAACCTGACCAGTAAACCTATGGTATAGGGGCATTTCCATCAGAAAGGTCCCATGAGCACCAACATGTGAGGTTTATAGAAGAATATCAAATTGGTTGTGAAATGAAAGCTAAGAGTGTATATTTTTGGGAAATGAAGGCATAGATAAGTCTTTTTACAATTTTCCATCTTAAAAATGTGGCATAAGTAAAGGGTTTGATTTATGGATAAACAGATGGAAAAGGGGTCTTAAATATTGCCTTGTAATTCAATTAACAAAAACCCACATATCTTTTAAGATATTTTCTAATTTCTCTCCCTCATGAGGGAGGATAATGAAAGTTCACAGAAGTAACAAGTAAGTAGTGGTAGACCTAACAATTAGTTAGTGATTTTACTGATATCAATTTTGTTGATGATTTATTAAGTGATTAAAACTCGTAAATCTGTTACCAAATTGGCAATGGATATACAAAAACATCAAAACCTTAAAATAAATGTTTAGAAAGTCTGAGTCTGGACAACCCCTCTCTCTCTGCCTCTCACTCCAGTTAATGTCACATCTTACTGACACCTGCCCATGAACCCCCTCTCTTTCCATCCTCACCCACTGAGCACCGACCTAAACCAGACGTCAGGGGACATTGAAAAGTAGTTTAAATTTGGTCATTCAAACCTGGCCTTGATGTTTACGTCCACAGATGGACAGGACTGGACCAAATCGGAACCTACCATAGATGTATGTTTCACAAGTTTGGATAGTACAGTGAGTAGAGTACAGTAGAGTACAGTATAATAGAGTAGAAGAGAGTACAGTATATTGTATAAACTGTACTCTGCTGTGCTGTGATGTCCAAACTTGTGAAACATGAGGAGAATGACATTGACATCCATGATTATACATTTCCGTATAGTACAGATCTGGGACCCATGATGTAATTCCATTACCTGGTGTAAATCCACTACACTTACTATAGTTCAACAACCAAAATATATTTTTTCAAACTCAAGGAGCCATGTCATAGCTGACACGCCATTCTTTCTGCAGATATTTAACAGACTTTCTAGAAAACGTGGGCGCATAAAAACCTGAGGGAGATTTTACTGTCATTTCGTTACCAAAGTTTGCATCTGCACAATTCTTCCACTAAATTAGTTTTTGAAAAATATTCTGTGGAAATTGTTAAAAGTAGTCCTTGTGCATATGGTTTGCTAAACGTTAAAATCAATGTTTTTTTGTTTGGCATACATTTTAAAGTGGAAAAACTGAGTCAAAGCGTAATTCCTTTACCTTGGAATTGCCCATAGCTAACACAACAACCTTGAAAGGGTAGGTAATAAATTCATACCATAGCCAACCAAACACTTCCCCTAGTCACACACTCACCTCTCTGACCTCACTTAAAAATATTTAGAATCTAGGCCTTAGCACAGCTGTCTTGAGTCTGAAAGTTCAGAGGGCTATGTGATGTGTGTGTGGACTCAAAGCCCAAGACAGACACAAGATGAGACAAGTGCAGCGCATCAAAGAGCACGACTGGAAATCTCCAGAAATCATGTCAGGTTTTTTTCTTTTTTTGGCAGACACACGTCGCACCGTCTCCACAGTTCAAATCCCTCCAGACAACCAGACAGAGAAGCAGCCTGTGAAGTCCCTGACAGAACTCCCTTAGTAGGGCTGGGGGTTAGTGGGGGGGGGGGGGGGGGTAGAGGAAGGAAGGTAGAAAGGGGGTCAGTGAAGGTAGGGCTGGGGTGGGTGGGTGGGTGCGGGAGAGATGGTCAGTGGAGGGAAAGTAGGGTTGAGGTGGAGGCGTGAAAGGAAAGAGAGTTAGTAAAGGGAGAGACTAATGGTGAGGGAGAGGGAGGAGAGACCAAGGGTATAGGAGAGAGAGGGTCGGTGGAGGTAGGGCTGGGGTGGCGAGGGGAGAAAGGGTCAGTAAAGGGAGGAGGGGAGGCCTGGGGAACAGTAAGACTAATCCATGGAGGCTGTTCAGGGCAGCTGCTGACACAGGCCTGTTTCATCCACCGCTTACAGGGTCCCATAAATAACACCCTTACTATGAGGGGCCGCCATGGTGCTCTTAAGTGTGCCACTTTAAAAGGATCCACTGTCATTACATCTGTCTGTGTTCACAACTGCACCCTATTCCCTTTATAGTGCACTACTTTTGATCTGGTCAAAAGTAGTGCACTATATAGGGAATAGGATGCAATTTGGGATGCAGACAGAAGTCCAGGGCGTTTGAAGTGACAGAAGGCCCGGCCTGGTGTGGAACTAGAGGTGGTGACCTCACTATAGCAGGCCTGTAACACTGACACTGGGCCAGGCATAAGTCACAGGCCCTCTGGGGCCCACCCAGCCCAAGACCACAGCCACAGAGTCCGTCCCAAATGGCACCCTAATCCCTGTGCAGCCCATACGGCTCAGGTCAAAAGTAGAGCAGTATATAGGGAATAGGGTGCCACTTGGGACACAACCCTGGAACATACAACCCCATCCCCTCTTTCTCCATGCCCCCTCTATCATGATCACCCCCATCACTCCACCTTATTGAGGTGCCAGCTTCCAACACCTATGGGACCACCTGCCAGCCACAATGGACCACAACAAGACAGCAGCAAAACACCACAGCTAACATTACAGAACATAGCAGCAGCTGAGTTAGTTTATGTTGCTGCTGATTCAAGCAGCCTAGGAGACTGCTGAGATGTTTATTTCTCAGAGTCCGTATTCATAAAAGTTTCTCAGAGCGGGAGTGCTGATCTAGAATCAGTTTTGCCTTTTAAATCATAATGAATACAATTATATGGAAAGGGAGGAGATGCTTGATACATATGGCCCCTGATCTATGAGGAATACCTGGATATTTTGTTTCTATTCACAATAATGCATTAGTATCCATCTCAAGATACATTAAATCAGTGATGCATGCACAAATGGCTTATTATTCATTCACTATTCACTAGCCTTTAGGGTATGGAGGAAAGGGGAACACTTCCATAAGGAAATAGTCAAATACTGTCAAGTGCAGTATTGCTACTTCCATGAAGTAGAAGGTATAGTCATTCTAAGAAACTACAGCACACTACATGTGCTCGTCATATACTACTAAAGTACTCATACAATACCACTACAGTACTCATACAATACTACTACAGTACTCATACAATACCACTACAGTTCTCATACAATACCTTCTTTGTGTCACTGAGTTGTCACATCCAAGCAGCATGCAAAGCAACAAGGGCAATGGGTGGAAACCAACACAAGTATTATTATTTCAATTGACATTAAGCTTTAGGGCAATACTGACACAAATGCCTCACAAATACCACTAAGAAAGGAACCGGGGGGATTAGTAAAGATGATGGATGTTCACACCCAAATCCACTCCTTTTTTGGAAGGATTATACAGAAAAGTAGTCACCAAATACATACGGTATTAAAGTCCTAAAATACGTTATAAAAAGGCGTAAGCTTCTCTTTTATTTAAGCAATAAGGCCTGAGGGGGTGTGGTATATGGCCAATATACCATGGCTAAGGGCTGTTCTTAGGCATGACGCAACGCAACCCGGAGCCCTTAGCTATGGTATATTGGCCATATATCACAAACCCCCAAGGTGCCTTATTGCTATAATAAACTGTTTACCAACGTAATTAGGGCAGTAAAAAGCACTTCTCATACCTGTGGTATATGGTCTGATACACCATGGCTGTCAGCCAATCAGCATTCAGGGCTTGAACCACCCAGTTTATAACAAGGATGATACCACAGCATTGTTGAATACTCGTTTCTGATTGGCTAGAATGGCATTCTAGAATGGACATTAAAACCAGATAACGGGACAGTTGGAAAAGATAGAAGTCAAACTTTTCTAGCTATGCCAGGCAAAATGGGCCATTATCAGCTCATTGTTATAGATGTATCCAAATGAATGTCAGTAGAAAACAGCTACTTTGTTGTTATTCTGGCTGCAGAGGTCGTGACTCTGTAGTCGTAGCTAGCTGGCAAGCAAGGGATAAGAACGTTGCCGGACCACAAAAAAAAACGAACGACTGTGTCGCCCGTAAATATCGAACTAATCGAACGAACGACTGGGTCACGTCTCTAGCAACCAAAAGAAGAGACAGTATGACATCTGAGCTATAGTAGTCATTGTAGTAGGTTCCAATAAATATACACATCATATTTCCTCTGGGCAAAAACTGGCCAATTCACACTGAGAAAGGCAATTTTCGAATGCTTGGTTTTTATGGCGGTTTCCTGTATAAGCCTATGGAACCACAGCCCAGAGGGGAAGGACAGTGTAGCCCCCAGTAGCCATGCTTGACCCACAATACTGCCACTGGGACACCCCTCTGGGGAGGAATCATATCCCCTCCATTCTCTCAAATGGCACCCTATTCCCTTTATAGTGCACTACTTTTGACCAGGGTCCATTGGGCTCTGGTCAAAAGTAGTGCACTTTATAGGGAATATCGTGCTCAGACATAGTCACCCCCATCACACCACCCTATATGTATCTGACTGACGGGGAATACATATAGAGTCCTATACCCCGGTGTCATTCAGACACAGATAGACAGTGACTGATGGGTATTTAGTAGAAACAAAGCACACACCAATGCACCACTCTGTCTATAGCAGTCTAGCTGACTATAGTGAGCTATCAATATTCAATAAGCACACATATCATATGGGAGGACAGAGGAATAATATGCCCCAATCAGGTGTTAATGAGGTCACATCTGCACAGATATGAGCCATGGAATCATGAATGGACCAATAAAAATCCACAGAACATCTTAAATAATTGGATATGATGAAGGGCCCCTTAGTTGATTGGCTAAATTGATTGGCTGGTAGTGGAGTGACTAACTGCTCTGTGCGCTACACTGTGCTGGTGTGGTATAAATCATGTGTTAAAAGGATGTTCACTGGGACTCCAATGCATATTGATTTGTCATTATTTGTAATAACAGACCAGGGGTGGAAGGGGTGGGGGCCAGTGGCCATCCATTACCCAGGGGAAAAAATACAAAATCAATAGGTCTGGGTCTGCATCCCAAATGGCACCCTATTCCCTAAAAAGTGAACTACTTTTGACCAGGGCTCATAGTAGTGCACTATATAGGGAATAGGGTACAATTCCGGATACAGGCAATGTCGAGGATAGGTCTTGCCATAGAGCTTTTGTCACGCACACTTCTCTCCTCATTCATCGGGGGCATATCATTAAGGAAAAAGTGGACAAGGCATGACAGTTTTTACGAAGCCAGGAGGAAATGGTATATGTATTTTAATAAGTTCAATTCTTTAGATGTGGCTGTGTAACCTTCAGTTGATTGTAAGAGTTAAATAGCTCAAGCCATGACCATACACCATGACATCTGTTATACATTCCCCCACAACCACCCCTGGAACCTAGGTTATGTCCCAAATGGCACCCTATTCCCTACATAGTGCACTACTTTTGACCGCGCTGGTCAAAAGTAGTGCACTGTATAGGGAATAGGGTGCCATTTGGGACGATCACCTTACTATACATGGTTCCTTTGTGGACCCTGTCAAGTTTGTCAAATCCTGCCTTTTTATCCCAACCAATCCTTCTGTAAAGGCACGTAACATCAGCACCTGCACTTCTCAGCTACTGAGGCCCTACACCAGTCTATGTGTCAGTGATCACAGATTGCAGAGAAAGAGGGAAAACCATGCTACAACCTGCAACTACACGCATGCACATACACAGAAAAACACCCTGGACCCCAACCGATAGACCTGTCAACACTATGCCTCGAACTGGCCCTGCTCTCCAGTCATGGGCTATCATTCTCCCAACCACCAACCAAAGGGCCTCTGTAGCCCATTCTGAATTGCACCAGGGGGCCCCTCCTCAACCAGTCCCCCTCACACAGGAGGCCTGGAATGCGTCCCAAATGGCACCCTATTCACTCTGGTCAAAAGTAGTTCACTATAAAGGGAATAGGGTACCATTTGGGACGCACCTTGCTTGTGACAGCAGCTGTCAGACCTCTGCAGTGAAAACTGACCTGTTCTGGGTCTGGATATTCTCAGCAGTGAGACGGGAAATTGATATTTATATTAATCGCCCCACAATCTGAGAGACCTTGGAAATGTCACAAATTAAGACTAATTATGATTCCTTTAATCTTAGGTTTCCTATGTGGAACTGCTGGGGAGACCGTGACTGATGATCTAGGCACACATGACTCAATCTGTGCTAGAAAACTAAGTACTTACAGGTAGTGGTATCCCTTTCTTTACATTTCTCATAAATCTGTTTTTGTGCTGTTGACGTTATGAAAACTAAAAAGGAATCGACGCACAGCTTATCAGTTGTGGGGGGGGGGGGGGGGGGGGGGGTTAATCAACTAATTGGCCCAAATCTGTTCAAATATTTCAATTCCATTTCAATCCTTTTTTGTGTGAGCTCAATATGCAGTTTCTCTAGAGAGAAATCAGATCAAGCCCCAACTGTGAAATGTAGAAGGGAGTTGTAGTTTCCAACAGGCCAACATTCTCCATAGTTTACATCTTGTCTGACATCATAGGCAGCAGCTCTATACAGATGACTTGGGATGAAATAATAGTCATCAAATAAAACAAACATAATATACACAACTGAAATATTTTATTAAAGTAAAGTAATGTGAATAAATGATGTTTTTTAAGTGATAATGGGCAGTCACTATCATGGCACTTTTATTAATTGTTTTATTCAACCCACATAATGCATTGCATTTGTTTAAAAAAATTATCGAAACCGAAAACCATGATTCTTTTTTCATAATCTAACAGAAACCGAACAGACCTCAAATCACTCAGCACTAATTGATTCCTAAAACTGAATAATGTTTAATCATGTCCTTAACTTTGAACTAGGCATATACTTCAGACAATATCAGATTAGCATAGCAAAGGAGTGATTGGGTTGCGTTCAATGTTTAGGCAGTTATTGCCTCAGCAATCTCCCAACAGCAGATGCTAGCTTCATAACCTTTCATTCACCCTCCTGCTAACTCATTTCTATGGTCTCACAAAAGAAAGCAATAGATTCTCAGATATCAATACATTAACATTCAAGCCAAACATTCTTCAAGTCAAAATCCAAAACAAGCTTGCTACGCTAGATAGACTTATTTTATTTATTCAATCTTCTGAATGAAAACACACTGGCCCTTAGATCCTCTGTCTTCAGCCCTAATTAAACAAATTGCCTTCTCAGTTTAAATCATCTAATTTAATTAAATAAAGAAAACTACATTTTGAGGGAACTTTTGTGGGCAACAGAAGTAATTACTTTAAAGTGAGTGGGTGAAACGGCAGTCCCCTTAGCCCACAACAGTTAGGCTGCATCCCAAATGGCGCCCTATTCCCCATATAGTGCACCATAGGGCTCTGGTCAAAAGTAGTGCATTATGTAGGGAATACAGTACCATTTGGGAAGCAGACTTATTTTCATTAGAGGAGGGCTCTGAACGCAAACAACCACCAGGGCCGTTTCAATTCCGTTTGGAAGAGAAACTGACACACAACACACACACACCAATTCAATTCAGTTTGGAAGGAAATGTTTTGTGATTTCTCTCCACTGCAAACCTCTCAACTCATTTCACAGGTTTGTTGAACAAATTAAAACGCAGACTTGACTGCTTTGCACAGCTCTGCCGTGGTGAGTGAAATACACCAAATAGCAAAGAGGCTGCTTTGGGAGTGAGTTTTCATTAAGCTGAAAAAACGGACTAAATAATTAGTGAGTTATAATAAGAAAGATCATATCTACAGCGCCAATATTTCCCTCAATTATTAATATTCAAATGAGAACCTTTGTGAGTCAAATGGCAGAATTTGAGACTGTAAAGAAACTCACTGCGGACCTGGAATGAATTCACAAAGTAATGGGGGAAAATGACAAATACAATAAGCAATAAAATGTATGTGGTTTAGGGAGACAGTTGTCTTGTGACACACTTCGCTGATTTGGTTCTGGAGGAAGAGATTAGGGAGACAGTTCTTTTCACCTTTCCACCTTATTCATAGACTGATGACACCTAACTGTCCTCCATTTCTGTCACAGCCAGGAGTTGGGAAGATAAGAGTGAATTAAATTCGTGGTTCAGATGCAGGGCTGGCTTTCTGACTGCTGATGTGAAGAGGAAATTCAGCAACTCTTGGAGGACAGTGGAAGTTGATAAACCAACGCGTTTTGGCCTGTAGCCTTCGTGGTTTTTTTATTGACTGACTGCAGATGACAGCTTAAGCGCTACATCCCCTCGACTGCTGTGTGAAACCTAAGGCCACGGAGAGATGGAGAGAGGCTACACTAGGCACTGGGCTCACAGATCTGCTCCCCATTTCCTGTAAGGGGACACAACACACACACAATGCTCTCCCTGGCTCTTTCTCAATTAATCTTTCCTCAATTACTTGTACAGTTGAAGTCGGAAGTTTACATACACTTAGGTTGGAGTCATTAAAAATCGTTTTCAACCACTCCACTAATTTCTTGTTAACAAACTATAGTTTTGGCAAGTCGGTTAGGACATCTACTTTGTGCATGACACAAGTAATTTTTCCAACAATTGTTTACAGACAGATTATTTCACTTATAATTCACTGTATCACAATTTCAGTGGGTCAGAAGTTTACATACACTAAGTTGACGGTGCCTTTAAACAGCTTGGAAAATTCCAGAAAAAGATGTCATGGCTTTAGAAGCTTCTGATAGGCTAATTGACATCATTTGAGTCAATTGGAGGTGTACCTGTGGATGTATTTCAAGGCCTTCCTTCAAACTCAGTGCCTCTTTGCTTGACATCATGGGAAAATCAAAATAAATCAGCCAATTTTGTAGACCTCCACAAGTCTGGTTCATCCTTGGGAGCAATTTCCAAACGCCTGAAGGTACCACGTTCATCTGTACAAACAATAGTACGCAAGTATAAACACCATGGGACCACGCAGCCGTCATACCGCTCAGGAAGGAGACGCGTTCTGTCTCCTAGAGATGAACGTACTTTGGTGCGAAAAGTATCTATATCCCAGAACAACAGCAAAGGACCTTGTGAAGTTGCTGGAGGAAACAGGTACAAAAGTATCTATATCTACAGTAAAACGAGTCCTATATCGACATAACCTGAAAGGCCGCTCAGAAAAAGGGGGTTGCTTGTAAGCCGAAGAACACCATCCCAACCGTGAAGCACAGGGGTGGTAGCATCATGCTGTGGGGGTGCTTTGCTGCAGGAGGAACTGGTGCACTTCACAAAATAGATGGCATCATGAGGAAGGAAAATTATGTGGATATATTGAAGCAACATCTCAAGACATCAGTCAGGAACTTAAAGCTTGGGTCTTCCAAATGGACAATGACCCCAAGCATACTTCCAAAGTTGTGGCAAAATGGATTAAGGACAATAAAGTCAAGGTATTGGAGTGGCCATCACAAAGCCCTGACCTCAATCCTATAGAAAATGTGTGGGCAGAACTGAAAAATTGTGTGCGAGCAAGGAGGCCTATAAACCTGACTCAATTACAACAGCTCTGTCAGGAGGAATGGGCCAAAATTCACCCAACTTATTGTGGGAAGCTTGTGGAAGGCTAACCCGAAACATTTGACCCAAGTTAAACAATTTAAATGCAATGCTACCAAATACTAATTGAGTGTATGTCAACTTCTGACCCACTGGGAATGTGATGAAAGAAATAAAAGCTGAAATAAATCTCTCTCTACTATTATTCTGACATTTCACATTCTTAAAATAAAGTGGTGATCCTAACTGACCTAAGACAGGGACTTTTTACTAGGATTAAATGTCAGGAATTGTGAAAAACTGAATTTAAATGTATTTGGCTAAGGTGTATGTAAACTTCCGACTTCAACTGTATGTCATCTGCTCACCTCCTTCTCAAAACGCATTGGAGAAGAAGTTCTGAGTGGAGGGACTATTGACCTTCTCCTCCAATATGGTTGAGAAGGAGGATGTGAGGAATTGTGGAAAGACTAATTGAAATAGAGCTCCTCTCCATCTCTCTCTCTGGCGGCCCAGCTTCACTGATGTCGCCTGACCACCCGAGGCCCTCTCCAGCATCCAGCCCACAACATTACACACCACACTGGTACAAGCAGTGTGCCAATCATTGTTTCAGCACGCCTAGAATGAAGACAGAATTCACAGAAATACAGTTCCAAAGAGTCAGGTTGGGCAAAGCTGAACTGCATCCTTGAGCATGGAATTCGAACATCCGCCAAAGATCCTGAAAGCGTAAACCCCCTGCAGTGCAGCAAACTAATGTTTCCTGGTGTATCAATGCAAATGGGAGGCATTGTGTGGATTCAAGCCATTGGATCACACACAGGTGCCAGGTACATATACAAGTTTAGTAGGGTGGGATTTGAATACAAGTCAGTCCCATTAATAACAATATACAATTTACTAATAGCATAAACTCTAATATCACACAAAGAAGCTTTACCTTCCCAGAGCTCCCCTGAGGCATCATGGCACAGCTGATATTATCTACAAGGCAGTAGACATCACATGGTGCGGAGGGAGAGCGGGAACACTCAGCAGGCTGTTCATTTAAAGAGGCCCTTTCATTAATGATTAACTAGATGGCATCACAGTGATTCTCTTCTCAGAACACT